TAAATTAGTAAAACATAAGTTCTTTGAGGGATTGTGTGTTACGTTGTCTCCCCCTGGCGGATGTATTTGAACACACAGCCATAAACAGGATTTTTTTTTTTTTTTTAGCTCTTGCTTTGGTTCCTTTGGTTCATGAATTATGCAGCAGACTGGTTGCAGTCTCTGCATACTAACAGCTCTGCTGCTTCATCCTGAGCTCCTTTTATGATGACTGAATTGTGTTTCTGATGTTTTCTTCATTTCAGGCAAATTTCTGTTATCGCTTAGCTCAAAGCCACAAACAACCTTCAGCGATCTGATTTCAGATTTACAAAGTTTTTAATTGGGGCATCTCTAAGCAGCAGACTGACGTGGAGCATTAGAGGTGTGAAGACTCAGACATTTCAAAATGAAAGCCAAAAAAAGAAAATAATAAGCTAATAAATGTTCGTCTGATTAGGGAATGAGACGCACTTTAAAACCAAATGTATGTGGACATGTAAGTGTTTCAGAGCTATAAGCATTAATCTAGTTTATTACATCATGCACTCATTCAGGGAGGTTGTTCATAACATACGGGGAAGGGATTAGTTACACCCAACAAGAATTAACAAGAATAACCTTTTCATTTAAATTCAACATAAACGTTCATCTATATTACAGCAAGTCCCTATTTCCTGGGTGAAAGCCAAACACGATGGCGGTGTCAGTGATTCATTAGCGCTGGATGTGTCAGTCCAGACCTGTAAAAAAGACCATTTCTCACTGTTTGTCATTAACACTGTTTCAACATTACTGAACACCACAAACTGCCCAGCAGCTGATTCTATTTACAACCCAAATTCACAGCAGTTACAGAATTTTGATCAGCAAACAGAAATGGCTTTCTTTCTTTGTCAATGCGGTCACAGTCTGCCTCCCAGTGGACAGACAGGAGAAGACACAGCATTTTCTGTGATGTTGATATAATCTGTTTAAATGATTCTCTTTAATATGATCTTAATTTTATGGAAAAAAACAGGCTCTCTGCAAATGGTTTGCTTAACAAATAATACCTATCAGAACAGCTGGGTATTTATTTCCTTACAATGTGCACATTTATTCCTGTTTCCTACCAACTCTGGTCTGGTCTGGGTTTCTTACATTTCTGCTGATTATAGCTTCCATGTCGGCTTAGTTTCCTCTTACTGTTGTCAGCAACAGTCCAGTCACAGTGGTCTGTACATATCAAACTAAACCTTTTACTCACCAGTCTTTCTTTGACCCCTGACAGGGCTCCTGTGGCTCCTGCTGGGCCTTTAGCTCTGCCGGGGCCCTTGAGGGGCAGTTGGCCAAGCAGACCGGGCAGCTCGTTGTGACCTCAGTCCTCAGAACCTGGTGGACTGTGTTACAGAGAATGACGGCTGTGGAGGAGGCTACATGACCAATGCCTTCCAGTATGTGAATGAAAATGGAGGTATTGACTCTGAAGTGGCCTACCCATATGTTGGACAGGTGAGCAACCCACTCTGCCAAACACACAACTAAACTTGAAGTAGCTTATTAATCTGAGCCTTTCACTTCAGTTCATTTCATGTAGTGAGTGCCACATTCTCTATAAACTAAGCAGTTATATTTTAATATCGCTGGGTGCTTGAACACATAAAGGCAAGATGGTCCAAAGCAGTCAAGCGGGGGTTTTTAAAGTAATAAACAAGTATAATTTAGTTGGTGTTTGTTCTTTTTTAAATTATCTTCCAGTACTTCCAGTACTTAAGATAAGCTAGAAGTGTGTTCTGTGAAGGCACTCTTACAAAGAAGCTTTGCAGACTTTTCACAAAAACCTAGTTGTTATAAATAATACCCAGTAATCAGTGGTACCTTGTGACTCTTGTGACAGAAGAGTCACAAGGTACCAAAACTTGCATAGCAAGTATTTTGATTATTAATTTATACACAATTATTTATTGTTTTTTTCGGTTATCATATAACCATTGATTAATATCAGTGTTGGGCAAGTTACTTTGAAAAAGAATTAATTATAGTTACTAGTTACTTCTTCAAAAAAGTAACTGAGTTAGTAACTGAGTTACAAATTCTAAAAGTAATTAATTACTTGAAAAGTAACTATTGCGTTACTTTAAAAAAAGTTTAACCCTCTGGGGTCCAGGGTATAATTGGCCATTTTTAACTACTTTTGATGTTTCCCTCCTACATTTCACCTTTAAAAACTATTTACTTTGCCTTGTTTGGTATCATTCTTTTCAGCACAACCTCACGTGTCTGAATTTACAGTTATGTTTTCATTTTGACACTTAAACAATTGATCTAAATCAGACAAAAAACATAAAATCCGAGTAGAAAAAGTTATATTTTCTGTAACAACCAAACATGTTTATGAATCATATTTCATAACTTTAATGCAAATATAAATTGTCAATTTTAAAATCATATGCACAAGTTTTGCAAACAACAAAGTTATTTGCAGCTCATTTACCATTTTACCCTCTTTTTTATAACAATTTCAAACTATTTATATAACAATCAGGTGTTCTGCATTCAATATGTATGTACTCACTCTCTCTCGTTTTTCTGCTGTCTTTCCTCTCTCTCTCCTCTCCTCGCTCTCTAAAACTTCCTCTCCTAAACAACCAAATGTCATGTTGCCATATCATTTTTGATTGGTCGACATGGTACATTTTTCCACCAACACAAAAGGGCGTTTTTGTTTTTGTTTTGTTTTTTAATTTTTTGCTCAGAAGCATGTCCCGGCTGGAAAACAGATTACAAATAATTGAATATTAAACTGGGGAAAACTAAATATAAGGTGCACCAGGAAACACAAGGAGAACCACACACAGCATGAGGGAGATCGCAACACTAACACAGCGAAACACAGGGCTTAAATACACTGGGAAATAACGAGGGGAATGAGACACAGAAGGGGAGCACAGCTGAGAGAAATTGGACATATGGAGACCCAAAGGAAGCGAAACTCAGTACATTCACGTAGGACACAGACCTTCAAAGTAAAACAGGAAATGTAACAGACACAGACTTGACTAGGGGAGACAGCACTAAGAAACACAGAGAACAACAACAAGGAGACATGGAGGGCAGCTACTAAATACTTAGAAAACTAAAGAGAATACAAGAAAGCCAAACTAAGACACTAGACTAAAGAATAAACTGGGGCAACAAAGAGAACTAAGATAAAAATACAAAAATTTAGAGACACAAGAAACTCAAAACACTGGGTCACCGACCCAGCACCGTGACAAACAGGGGAACTGTTGTGTCCCTCCCACCTGTTCTTTTCAAAATGTTTAGTGTAGCTGAAATACTGTTCAATCCCACTGTTGTAAGTAGAAATTAATAAGATCCATACAAAAATCTTTAAACAGGTAAGAGCTGAGGGAAATATCTGACTGAGTCTAACTTTCCCCAGCTTGACTCGACCCACCATGCTTTATTGTGCCATTCTTGTCCATGTGTTAGACTTACTACAGTCCAGCTCTGAGGTCTTTACACTGCCTGCCTGTCCGTCAGAGGATAGACTTTAAAGTTCTGATGCTGGTCTATAAAGCTCTGAATGGTTTAGGACCAAAATACATCAGTGACCTCCTGACCCACTATAAACCTTCCAGATCCCTCAGGTCATCTGGATCGTTTTTTTTTATATCAGTTCCCAGAGTCAGAACCAGCCACGGAGAAGCTGCATTCAGCTTTTATGCTCCATATATCTGGAACAAACTCCCAGAAAGCCTCAGATCAGCTGAAACACTCAGTTTACTTAAATCCAGGTTGAAGACTCACCTGTTCTCAGCTGCATTTGAGTAAAAAACCAAATCCACACTTTTAAGCTTAAATTTCAAAACTTTCATTTTAACTACTGATTTCATCTGCTGTTCTGATTTTATCTACTGTTTTTTGTAAATCAATTTTAAATAATGCTTTTTAATTGTTTTTGTTTTTTAATGTCTCTGTAAACCACTTTGAATTACCTTGTTGTTGAATTGTGCTATATAAATAAACTTGCCTTGCTAATGAATGTGGCTAACCAACCAAAGGCTTTAAAAAAAGATATACAAAACTTTAAACGTCAATCATGGTGGGACATTTTGTATCAACAACCAAAGAAAATCCCTTTGAATACCTCATGTGAAAATTGTTTGTTGTGATTTTGCACTAAAAAAATTAAAAATGACTCATTTGTAACCCAACACTGCAGTCTGTTGACTTTATCCTGACCTTGTTCAAGATGTTAGCAGGACAGATATGTGGGTTTTAAGGACCAACTCCAGCACCAGTAGCTGCTCTGAAATCTGATTTATTTTTTATTTGATCCAAAAACAAGAAAACACCCTCACGAAACCAACTCTTCTTTTTAAACGTCCTTTTTGTTTAACAAAAATGCTGTATAACATGCACAATTCAGTTCTTGACCAGTTAAAACCCTCAACATCCCAGGCATATTTACATAAATACATATCCCCCCTTTTGTCAGGTCTGTGATGGCAGACTGTGTGGAGAGTGGACAGAGTGTGGACCCAAATGCAGACTAAAGACACAGTACTGGACTGCAGTCAAAAATGAAAGTGAGCTTTTTATTTTTGACTGCACAAAATACAACCAAAGCAAAAGGGAGACTAAGATTAAACCAACGAAAACTAAACTGCAAAAACTAAACACAAGGTACCTGGAACAAGGAAACCTGAGACCTGAAACATGACGGATGATGAACATGACAAGGATCTGACGAGGGACAAAGGGAGACTCACATAATAAAGATACACAAAGGCAAACGAGAGGGAACAAAAGGGAACTAACTCGAAGTAATTAAGAACCAGAAATCTAAATGATTAAACCAGGAAACTAAATAATACCAGAAAAGGACAAAGAAACATAAACCGCTACCATCGTAAGAAAACAAGGCCAGAAGTCCAAAAACATAAATGCTCAGTAACAGACCCATCACCGTAACATCTATAAATTTACATATTATAATTCCGTGTCCTTTATTTTGTGAATAAGGAACCAGATTTTTGAACAATGTTTTATTTTTATATTGAGTCAGGTTACATAATATCAGTATCAACAACAAAGCAGCAGTCAAAAAATATACAATTGTCCAGCGCTAAACATCCGGTAAAGTCACAGCTTTTTACAATAGATATAAACATATTTTTAATTAAACCTTGTAGCCTTGGGCAGACGTCTGTACTTCTGGTTACCCCCTGATTTAGTAGTTAATGATAACCACAGTATTGGAGTGTAATGGAATACATGTACCGCCGTTACGTATTTAAAATACAAAATACGAGTAACTGTATTCCGTTACAGTTACCGTTTAAAAAGGTAGTATTCAGAATACAGTTACTTTGTTGAAATGAATGGATTACACGGCGGTATTTTTCTGTTTCATATGTTAGGCTATGCCATCTCTATTTTTGGGAATTCCAAGCCGGTGGAATGTGTCTGTGAGCGCGAGGAGGGAGAAAAAGAGTTGAAAAGTACGAGATTCACCGACCAGAAAAGGGAGCTGGAAATATAATAACAACCATTGCAGCCAAAAAAAATGCCTGAGGAGCCCATTTGTAAGTACGCTATTAAGACTCGACTGTACACTGTGTTTGCGTTTTCCTCCGAAACAGTAAGTTCCATTGGAGCAGCCTTTCAACGCCTCTCTCTGTCTCTCGCTAGCAAAGTTGACCCAGACAACAAAGTAAAGCTAGTTTTCAGCTATGAGCCCGACACGGAACCCACCGTATTAGCCAGAGGACCCTTTTTTACGGTTCGGAGCCACGGACCTGTTTTATATACGCGCAGAATTGTTTTCTATACGACATACATAATGTCCATCCTACTGATACTCATTTTATATTAAAATGTAAAAATCCTGTTGGTTTTGGTATGGTGAATAACCTTCAGTAATAGTAATAAATCACTAGCAATAGTACATTCATGTAACGTATTTTGAATACGTTACAAAATACATTTTCATGTATTCTGTAATTCGTAGTGGAATACATTTTAAAAGTAACCTTCCCAACACTGGATAACCACAGTAAACATTGGGAATAAATATTTCTCACTAACTTATAAAAATGAAATCTTTTAATGAAATTGCTGAATCTTGACTTTTAAGGAGACTTTTTCGGAAAGCAGCTTGAGCTTTGAGAAGAGGGTCAGAAGAAAAAAAACATACAAAAAAGACTCTTAAACAAGCACTCACACACAGAGATAGAAACATTAGCATTTCCACAATGTCACAAGCCAAAGAAAATATAATGCTTCCTCCTTAAGATATCATTTTTCAAGAGAAGCACCAAAAGGCATTAGTTTGAAGCTGTAGTTTTTGAAGATAAAAAACTACAGCTTCGAGGTGATCATGTAAAAAAGGGTCATCATATATGATTTTTTTTTTTTTTGCAAGAATTTAATTTCAGTGCACACTGTAGTTACATGACGGGGTAGCAGGGATACAAAGCGATGCCACACTGGTTGCCTGTGTTGCGTGCCATCCGGATGTATCCCTGATCTCCGAAGGTTGTTCCCCAGCTGGAGAGTAAAATTAAAAAAAAAAAAATCATTAATGAAATAATAGCTCATCGATGAAATTTAACTGTTTTTAAAACTCCACATGTCATTCAGCAGCTGGTTGCTTTGTTTTAATCTATGAATAAACATTAACAAAGCTGTCTTTCTTCTTCTTCTTCTTCTTCTTCTTCTTCTTCTTTACATTTAACTAGGTGCAGTGCATGGTTAATTATTAATACGGATAGGAAACTTATATACATGGGTATGTTCAAACTTTTGATTGGCTGTATTCTTTTGAAGTCTTGATGTTTCCATGGAATAACTAATGTTTGATTAAACTTTAATTTAATGATGGAGGCCAACTGGTATATCACAGCCCAACAGTCTGGAGAGTTATTGCTTAAGTTTAAAAATATATATAATTTAAAGAAATCCACTTTAGTCCTGTCAGCAAAAACTGAAAGTCTGAACAGAATGTAACAATCAGTCTTTGCATGTTAATGATATGTACTTTCCTAAAAAGCGCTGACTTCTCTCTTTCATTTCCTGTTTGTCTTGTAGAGTCCTCCCAGAATGCACCACATAAGTGAACAGATCGTGGAAGACAATAGAAGCCCTGTCTATAAAATCACTTTGTATATATAACCCAGATTCCAAAGAAATCAGTGGAGTGAAAATGTCTCACCTGTTCTTTACGAGCCAGTAGTCTTGTCCATTCAGAGTACCGTAGCCCACTGCCAACACACCGTGATTCACCTCTTGTGTGCATGATGGGTCATTATACACTCCTGAAATGATAAGAAGAATTACCAATCTCATTGTAACATTCCAAAAAGCAAAAAACAATAATTTCCAATAAAGTTTTATTAATTCAAGCTTTTCCCGAAACATCTTAATTCCTCCAAACTTCTCAAAACTATTTTTCCATATTAATAGACAAGAGTACACTTGACACCTGACGAAGTGTATCTTACCACTTCTATAGAAACTAAATCTGGGCCGCCTAGCATCAATTGCCACTGAAATGGGTCCAATGGTAGCAAGACCCTGCTTCAGAGCGTTCTCGTCCCCTTCAGGCAGAAACTGGTAACTGGAGCAGTTGGCAGCACGGGTTGCTGGGTTGTAGTGGCACTGATCATCCTGAAGTTAAAGGACAAAATGTTAAAGGATCTGATGCAGTCAGGAAAAAAAAGAAAAAAAAGAAAAATCTTAAATTATTCTTGTTTATTAAAAACATACAAGGCAGGCCTTAGACAGAACTGAACAAACTGGGAGATGGGACCTCATACCACTAGAAGTGACACCAACCAGCAGAGCAGTCCTTGAGCTTGCTCTACTTGCCCATTCTAATGTGACATTTTACATATGAATGATACTTTGGCAAAGTTGTGGATTATTTTGGATTATGAGCTGCAGTTTTTTTTTAAAACCACCCCTTTAGTCACCAGACACTGGAAAACAGGCTCTCCCTTGACTGAACTGCACCTCACTCATAAAAGAGAAAGTCAGTGGTTTCATAATTTTTACTTCAGGACAAAACTAAACCTAAAGATTTTTTCAAAATACACACATATTGTCATGTCCATATTGAATATTTTTGGTCACTATGCTTATAGAATATTTAACATCAAAAAGTTGCTTTTTCAAATATCTTTTTCTAAAATTAAAAACATCGCCACCCCCGCGAGGCTGGAACAGTCTGTTGAATCGTCTCAGAACTGGCCTCCTCCACACAAACAACAGCGAACTACATAAAGCCTGGAGGACAAACATGTTGTCCGCTCCGATTAATTTATTGTTGCTCCAAAGAGACGTTAACAGCTGACCACAGTGTGAGTGTTGCTGTCTACAGCCTGAAGGATCAGACTCAACTTCTTGCTGGTTTTTATACACCCACCTAGGTGTCTCATACAGGGTTTTGTAAAGCTTGTGTTAGAGTCCTGTGTTTATTATTTTTTTGCAAAACTTTGTTCACATTGGTCAAAGGAGCTTGCAAAGAAAAGCGTCTGGACTTCTTTAAGTTGCTTGAAGACGTTTCACCTCTCATCCGAGAAGCTTCTTCAGTTCTAAGGTCAAATGGTGGAGAGTCCCAGATATAAACCTAGTGGGAGTAACCCCCCACAGAGGGACAAAAGGACCCCCTGATGATCCTCTACGGATGAGAGGTGAAACGTCTTCAAGCAACTTAAAGAAGTCCAGACGCTTTTCTTTCCAAGCTCCTTTGACTACGATGACCTGGATGACTGAGAACCTTCACAGACATTTGTTCACATTGTATGAACAACAAAAATAAAACAGAATATGATGACTGAAAATCATTTAAACACAATATTTAATTGAAAATTAGACAAAGACAACATAAACTAACATTATATAAACATATTAAAAAATAGTAACATTCCTTAGATTAAATAAAAAATAAAGTAGCTTTGCTCCTGTCTACTCAATTTTTACTGTAAATAATGAAGTCAGATGTTTTGGTTTTACCTTATGAACATTCACCTATCACTAATATTATAGCTGAAAACATCAGTTAAGTACGTAGGTATGTTCTTTTAGCACAAAAGTGTGCTTATAGGGCCACATAAAAGTTGTGTGTTTACTTACACGTCCTGTATATGGGTATGAAGCATCAGAGTCGATTCCGTGGTTGTCGATGACATACTGGAAAGCTCGGGTCATGAAGCCTCCGTTGCAGCCGTGGTTGCCATATTTGCCGGAACAATCCACCAGGTTTTGAGGACTGAGATCCACCAGCTTTCCTGTACTCTTGGCTAACTGGCCTTCCAGGGCCCCTGCAGCACTGAAGGCCCAGCAAGACCCACAAGCACCCTAAGATAAAAACAAACAAACCCATAGGATCTAAAATACAAATATGCTTATATTCTCAGTATTCCTCTAAATGTCCATCTTAATAGCACTGATGCACTTTTTTACAATACCAACTACAAAAAAAAGTCATGCAGTGATTTGCAAATCCCATATTTCGTTCAACATGTCAAATGTTGAAACTGAGACATTTTACAATTTCATGACAAATATGAATTCAATTTTGAATTTCATGGCAGCAAAAGATGTCTCAAAAATGTTGGGATGGAGGCAACGAAAGTTTTGAAAATAATTAGACTAACTAGCAAAAGGTATTTTACACAGCATCCCAACACCTTTGGAATTACGGTTGTAAAACTTTGACCCCAAATTACACATCTGACTGCACTTGTAGCTGTGACAAAATAAACAAGCTGAAACACACTGGTCTGGCAACAAAGGTGTTCTTTATATTAGTTCTGTTGCTTGAGTTTTCCTTTCTGGTCTCTTTCCACACTTCTTAGAAATCCATAAAGAAATCCATCTTGATTTTGATTTAATATATACAATTCATTGATATAATAATAAATAAAGACAGAGTGAAAAATCCCCCTTCAACAATGTTCCTGTAGCTTGTCACTACATCAGACAGAAATAGAATAAATTCCTTGTGCATCATTTCACACATTTCTGTGTTTGGCAGCTCAACAGGCGTTTGTAGAGGTGTTGGTGAAGCAAGGGTTCAGCAGGGTGTAGGAGGTTAAAGAACTCAAGTGACTATATGAGAATGTTTTTTGGTCAGTTACATTTACCGCGTTGCACAGAACAGAAGCAATGCCAAAATCAATATGTGTGTGTCTCTGGTTAAATGATATTCATCTGCACAACACAAGTTAATAATAAATTGGGCATCAAAATCTGTTTCTTTCTTTTAAAATTATTATTTTTATCTTTATGATTTTTCCCCTTAGACTCCACGCAAAGCAATTTCAGCACAGAAAGTCATATGGATTTAAAATACCCTAAAGTAATGCATATTTTAGCACTAAAAGTTTCTAGAGACAAATAAAGTGAAGCTTTGGAATGGACTATTTACATACAGAAAGAAAAGGCAGAACATTAAGACATATATTTCCTTATTTCACCTTAATTTTTGTATATTAATCATCCAAAAACTAAGATAACGAGACAGTTTTGAAAGTATCTAGGTTAAAAAAAAACCCCTGTAAGACCGTGCTACCCACCTTCTTTGCACCAAGACAAATGGATGTGACCAAATAATTGCTAAACTAGCAACTGTGGTAATGACATCCTGTGTAAACATGAACCTTTTCAAAGAATAAGGAACAGGATGAATGGGGGATATGTTGACACTACTGCCTGTGTGGCTATGAGACATCAAATGTTTTTGCTCTTCTCAGCAGCACTAATACATATACATTGATTTAAATGCCCTCTTCTTCTTTTTTTTTTTTTACCTGCATCTTGACTTTGGTGACACAACCCTTCTCTCTCCAGTCCATGGTGTCTGGTATGCCAGAACCTGATGCCCCTGCAAAGGGAGACGGCGCCCTCTGGATGTCAGTGGGAGGAGTGAGACTGGCAAAAAACTGCATGATCTCTTCTTCTGTCTATGAGAAAGAAAATGGCAATGATGAAATAAGAAACAAAAGCCAGTCACAGCTGGCAGACAGTTATCAAAGTTTTCAACTTCAATGTGCTTTATAAACTTTCTAAAAGCTTTAATTTTTCATATAAATCTCCCCTATGTAATATTTATATGTTATAATCTCCCTGACTTCATTAGAGCCATTTTAATGTTTAATTTCATAATCAAACTTTGCATCTAATCCAACTACTAACCAAGCTGCAGGCAGCTGAAGCTGTAAAAACATTGTGGTGCATCAAGTGCCGCTCCAAGCACTAACAGGATGTGTCAACAGGAAGACCAAACATGTTGCAAGACAACAAAAGGCCATGGTGGCTGTCTTTTTGATTTAAGCTACACTGTAAGAACAAGTCCTAATATAAAAGTATTTTACTTGTATTTTACAGTTTTGTTCTGTTCTTCTAGAATATCATTAAATTTACATAAAACGACTGTGATTTCACATTTCAAATGTAAATTAACGTAAAATCACTGTAATGTAATAAAACATAACTTTCTTGTTTTTTGTCTGTACAATCTAAATATGATTGTTAAAATACATTCACAAATGTATCATGATTGCACAGATATTTGTCCGTTATTTGAAGGATTGAACTGTTGAATTCAAATGTAATGCTATGGCAAAATATATAACATGATTCCTATAAATGTTGTTTACATAAAATAATTATTACTATTATTGCTACTTAGGGCCATCGTGGCTCAAGCGTTGGCAGTTCGCCTTGTAATCACAAAGTTGCTGGTTCAAGCCCCTGCTCGGACACTCTCGGTCATTGTGTCCTTGGTCAAGACTCTTCACCTACTGGTGATGGCCAGATGGTGCGATATGGCAGCCTTGCCTCTCTCAGTCTGTCCCAGGGTATGCAATCCATTATTATTTAAACCAACTGTTAACAGTATGTTTCTGTACATTTAAGTATTATTATTCATATTGCCACATTCATTGACCTTGTTTATAGGTAATTTCATTGTTTGATCACATTAAAATGTTCCTAATTTAATGTTTAAAAGCACTTGAGAAAGGCAAAATCCCATGTAAAATTAGGGCAACAAACTGTATTATCATTACTGAAAATAACTGTATTTTTATGAGAAAGTTACTTTCTCTTATTGTATGTTATTACTTTGGCGCCCCAGCTGCAGGAATATTACTGTTTTTCTTAGGATTTTTTTTTTAACAGTGTAGACTTTTCACCTCAAGAATAATTTTCCAGAGCTCCATCTCACCAGACTTAATTTTTGGGTCATAAAGCTCGAGATATTTCTTGATGTAAACTTCTAGTTTCTCATTCATTAGCTTAAACATGAGAGAAGGCAACAAGGGAAGAAAGGGTGCTTCTACAGAAGCTAAAAATGTGAGCTGCAGAAGTGTAGATGTAAACGCAGGAAGTGAAAAAAAGTATTTTGAGGGGCAGGTGGAAACTGATCATATAACTGTGGCATGAGGTTTTGAGCCAGCATCACTGTGGAGGTTTTATGTGGAAAATGATGGTCAAGTGTTTTGACATAACTCTGTTGGGCCTGAACACAAAGACTTTTGAGCCACTTGTAGCCTCAGTTTTCTGCCAGTAATCTATCATCCATCACACACCCAGCTACTCTTCAATATGGATCAGCTTTGATCCTGTTGACCTTTTCAACATCATTAATACAATCACCATTAATGAATAAAAAATATCATAAGTCAAAAACATTAATGAAGCAAGAGAGTGTCTCACCAGGTCTCCCATGTGATTCATGCCCAGTTCATAGGTGTGAAGTCCCATTGAGGCCTCCAGGTTGTGCACGGTAATCATCTTCAGGTTATTCTCCCACAGCTTGCGGCGGTGAGCATCCTCCACCTCACATAAAGAAAGAGCAGATGAGGTGAAAATGCTGTATAAGTTAATTATAAGCCTTGTGCAGAGTTTGGCCATACAAATATAACACTTTAAAAAAATATTTATTACTACTACTTTTTGTCACATACATCATTTTTGTAGCTCTTCCCATGTGTCTTCTTCCACAGCTCCCAGTGTGCATCCAGTGTGGATTCAAACATGGCTGCTGCCCCGGCACACAGGGAGATGAGCAGCAACAGCAGGCCTGCAAACACACAAACATAGACGATGACACGAGAAGACAGGATGTCACCTGACCTTTGATGAGACTGATGCTCACTAACACACTGAGAAAACAACCTGCCTGGCAAAGAGCTCAAGTTTCCAGTCAGAAACAGACCTTAGTTTCATAAAAAACCACACATAGAGACTCTGGCACGACACAGGCCAAAATATTTTCAGAGTTGTGTTACATGTTGACAAAAAGAAAACAACAAAAAGATGGAAATCAAAACAAAGAATAGGCGTTTAGTGAAATATGAGCACAACTGAACTTGTTTATGAGAGCCCCTGATATTTAATTCTTCTTATTAAAATCCAACATTTACTCTAAAAGGTTAACAGAAGCCACAACTATTTTCCTAGATTCATACATGGTAATTTTTCCCAAATTAAAAGGCCTTTTTTTTCACAATTTCACTGTCTTGATCTGCTTCTCAGTCAGAACAGGGAGAAACATGATTGTAAATATTGGTTTACGTCACTTGTTATCAGAAGGGCTGGCAACAAGCTGAAAAAGGCATACACCAATCAACAAACAGGCCTCAAAATACAAAAAGGGAGAGTGTTTGCTCAGTTTTCTTACAATGACTAAGAGCAAATATAAAAAACTAAAGACAGTGAAGTGATTCCACTGAACACTTCTGTTTGAACTGAGTGTTCAAGCATGTTACCAGATTATAATTGGTGCTGATGTTGTCTCCAGGGGTTTTATACTGAGATGGCTCAAGTCACTTTTTAAAAAACAACTTTTTGCACTGATCACTGTGTCTTTAGTGTCAGAGTCTTAAGAGAAGTCTCAAGTATAACTTCCACATATTTAAGGCTGTGCAAAATTTTCAAAATGACGCCACAGTCACAAGGCCTGAAGTGAAACTTATGAACAAGCAAGAAGTACATCCATGAATATGAAGCTCCACCTGGTACAGTTCCCAGCTGGGGAAAGGACCCTCTTCACACACAATACCCTCAGTGTAGAACCTAAATGTAATATGATATATATAATATTTTTTAACCAGAATTTATAACTCATCAGGCTTCTCATACTAATGTATGCGATTTAAGTAAGCCATCTTTTCAATTTTTACTTGGACTTTTACCCCAAAAGCACTTTGACTGGCTCTTTTTTCCACTTCGTTTTGTTGTCAGTTTCATAAATACAAATACAAAAACGAAGAATTCCGGTTTTATATTACTTTCAAATTGTTTTACTAAACAAATGCTACAGCGTAGCACAGCCTTCCTGTCAATGGTGTAATTACATAAGGATATACTAAACATATACCGAGTGTGTTTGGACGATTTCTTTTTCTGCAATTATTTAACATTATAGAAACACTTTACTTCACTGTGATGACATTATAACAAGGTTACAATATATTTCTATCGTTGAACACATCTGCAGCCTGAACAAAGAAAAGTCTTTGATTTTGACAACAAAAACGAAAGTAAAAGCAAACTGAAACATCAAGCGTTTTATGGGGCGATGTCCGCCTTTTTTGTTTTACCAGCCATTAATATTTCTACTAAAGCTATTAAAGTATTACTGGAAAGTGTTTCACTTGCCTTGATTAGTCGGACTCATCTTTGCTGCGCGGAAACTCAGTCTGACTGCGTTTCCTTGTTGCTATTATTTAAGAACAAAGTGTCACATGTTCTCTCGCAGTTCTTCCTCTTTCGAAAGTAAAAGCTACACCATTTTCCTCACAGTGCAGGAAAGGAATAGTTGAACGCACAAGACATAAAATAGAAGGTAAACAAAAACCACTTATTCAGAGGTTTTCTCAAAAACTTGAACCACAGAATTGCACATTTTCGGAAAGTATGACAAGTACACACACTCAGCATTTTATTGCACATTAAAAGTGTCTTACTTCCCACATTTAGCATTTTCATTACACTTTATGAGCAATCAAGTTTTTTAGTTTTAATTTATTAAGTTATTTATCTTTAGTTCAGTGTAGTTGGGTTTATTTCCAGATTGAGGTTTCCTCGTTATTATTTTATGTTTTAGTTTAGCTTCTTATTAGACTGAGAGTTGTGTTTCTGTTTTATATTAGTATGGCAGAGGCAAGATTAAAGTTCAGAATAAACACAACAGAAGCACATCGCTTTGTCAAAGAAGGTATCTCACAGTCATGTTTCATATGCCAGAATTCCTTTCTTGAAATTACAAATTCGACCAAGCTGACAAAGTTATTTCCTACAATATTTCCTTTGAGTTTTCATTTGATCTCAGTGACTAATATTCTAATATTCCATTATATTCTATTGCCTCAGAATGGCATAAAATCATAATTTTAGCTGTAGCTACCCATATTAACCTTGCTATAAGACTATCCTGTGTGCAAATGACAGTTTTCTCTGAGGGTTAGAAATATGGAAATGGAAACTTGGAGAATGGAAAATGATATTATGGCAATCCACTTATTAGAATTTTATATTTAATTCATTGAAACTAATCAGAAAGGTCAGGAAGGTCATTAAAAATCTTGGAAGTTAATTCTGCAGTTACAGGAATAAGTGGTTCTGGAAAGAAGTGAAGGTCAAAATAAATATTTGACCTGTCAGCTGTAAATGAAAGATCATGAGGTCAGTACGTTGTCTGCTGTTGGATGAACACAGAAAACTGAAAGAGGAACAAACCAAATCATGCATTTCAGTCATGAACATATAAGTTCAAGCAATGGTTTCATGGCACTACATGCTTTTATAGAGTAATTCAGCACCATATAAATAATAATCATTAATGCAAACTCCTTGTGGTGCCAACTATGGCCAAAAAAATACAAACGTCACTCATTTTCCTACATGAAAATAGTCATGGAGTTAGTGTTGGAGTGATGGTGTTTCTTACTTCAAAAAATATAGAAATATTGCACATTTAGTAGAATAATTAAATTATAAATATAAACACAACAGCCACTTTATATACCTGTTAAACCACTCATTAAAACAATGACTGATTGTCAACCAGTGCCATGGCAGCCACTCACTGCATTTAGGCACATAGACAGGTCAAGATAACCTGCTGTTCAAAATTTGAAAATATCCATTGATATTATAGGAAGGAAAAGTAATTCAAAAAAATCAGCAATTATAACCAAGGTGTGTGGAAAAGTCTTCCAAATCTTTGAATGCACAACATGTCAAACCTTGACGCAGCTGTTATGGCCTGTCTAGAGGTGGCCAGACCACAACGTAAGGGTGAGCCATCTTCATCAGAGCCAAGCAGCCACATCACGCAATTGGTAAAGTTTGATAATGATTTATTTACAATATATTTTCACTTACTGAATACGGGACAGACTTGACTGGGGGAAAGAAGGGGAGAAAGAAAGAGGGAAAGAGAAACAGCTGAGAAGAGGGACGGGGGAGAAGGGCAAAAGACAAAAACCAACAGAGTGAGCAGAAAAAGAAAAGAAAAAAAATGCATATATCAGTCACCTGGGTCACCTGCTGAGAAAGAAAAAAGAAAGCAAGCAGAAGAGAACAAGAGTAATAGAATAAACAACATCACAATGATATATGGGAATATGACAGTAAATACTAAATGTTAAACATTATTGTGCAGCACATAAGATCAACAGAACACAGTGTGCTTTGAGGTAGGAGCCAAAAAGGGTGTAGTTTGTGGGTGTGACCACCCGTGTGTACACCTGTGAGCATGGACGCGCTTGTTTTTTGTTTTTTAAAAGGTTCCTTCATGTAATAATCTGCTAGAGGGTGTGGGGGGGCCACAGCCCCGTCCTCCAGGGCATGAAGCAGGTATGGAGGAGATCAAGACTCCAGACATCCAGAGGCCCCCAGAACACAAGAGACCATGGAAGACCAACAGAGGGGCAGCCGCGCCACTGTCCCGGAAAGAGCTGACGAGAGTCCCAGATGAGGGCTCACTCAGCAGCCGCGGAGCAGAAGCCAGGGGGAGTTGCAGTGAGTTAACTTTAATAATTACTTCCTCCAAACCATCAACGTGTCTTTTAGACCCCATTCCTGCCATTAATTAATGCTTCAATCTTAAATATGATCAACCTATCTCTAATAATCGGCTATTTACCACAAGCCTTCAAGCTGGCTGTAGTTAAACCTTTACTTAAAAAGCCATCCCTAGACCCAGCTGCTGTCTTAGCTAATTATAGGCCAATCTCCAACTTTCCTTTCATATCAAAAATTCTTGAAAGAGTAGTTGTCAAACAGCTAACAGATCATCTGCAGAGGAATGGCTTATTTGAAGAGTTTCAGTCAGATTTCAGAGATCATCACAGCACAGAAACAGCTTTACTGAAGGTTACAAATGATCTTCTTATTAGAATATTAGCGTCAAATCACAACAACAGTTGCCTTAAGGTGCTTTATATTGTAAGGTAGACCCTACAATAATACATACAGAGAAAAAACCAACAATCACATGACCCCCTATGAGCAAGTATGTTTGCGACAGTGGGAAGGAAAAAACTCCCTTTTAACAGGAAGAAACCTCCAGCAGCACCAGGCTCAGGGAGGGGCGGCCATCTGCTTCAACCGGTTGGGGTGATAGAAGCAAAGGACATGATTTCAGTGTAAGCTGCCAGTATTATCCAACATGATCTGACAGCAGCTCATTTACAGTTTTATGGAATGTGAGGCTGTTTAGAAAATCTGTAAATGTAACACACAGGGTTTGAGCATATCATATGATTATAGTTTATGATCTTGTGGTGTATCATTGAATTATTGTACAGTTAAATCCTTTCATCTGACTTACTTAAGTGCCCACATGGAGTAGAACCATTGGAAAGTATTTTTGAGTGCATATCCTGATCCTTACATAACTTATTCCCATATTTGTTTGTGTTTTTGTAAAAATTCCATAAAATGTTTTTTACAAAAACATAAAAAAATTCCAAATGAGGCATTCAAAGTCAAAATGAACCCTTTATTCAATTTCATAGAAAACATCTGTTTACAATGTAATCATTGGAAAAGTGCAGAACAGAACGACAAGTCCTTGTGATCACAAGAGAAAATAGTTATAGGAACTCACACTACCAGCAGGAAAGGAGTAGCTCCCATTGCACAGCAATGTTTCCTGTCTTTTTTCACACAGAAAGCAAGTAAAAGTAGGGACTGAAACTATCACTGACTACCAGTCAAATACTGTAAAAAGAAAAAGTATCTTGTGCCATGTAGATATGTAGATTTAACTTGCGACTTCAGCATAAAACAAGCCTGTGTGCTGGCTTAGGTTTATTCAACAGCATGCGCTGAAGTTACAATAAACTGTATGTGTTTCTTTATTAACCAGAGCACAGCAGAGGTCTGCAGGCATGAGATAACTCCAGGGTTTAAAAGTATTTTTTGGAATCCAAGACTCAGAAACATTTAATGCCTGTTTTCAGTGAACCTGTTCGTTATCTCCAAATTCCATTTCCTGTTAGAAAAGACTGTAAACAAACATATTGTACTGTAGTGGTTGCGGATGTGTTGAAATGAACATTTACTCTGAACATTTCCAAGTGTATATTCGTCTTATAGTAGTCTAAGCAAAGCCCGTTCATTTTCCCTAATCTCTTCACAAGATGGGGTAGCTAGCGAGGTTGGTGATGCCGCAGAGGTTGCCACGGTTACGTGCCATCAGGATGTATCCCTTGTTGCCCCATTCCTCACCCCAGCTGTGAAGAAAAGACAAAAGACGGAGTTAAGATGGAACGATGGAGACAATGAAATATCGCCAGGAGTCAAACAGCATTTCAGCTTATCATTTTGACAGATGACATGAAAACAAATCAACAAACAACCAACACTTAATTTTAGTGGACATTTGAGCCACCTGATGCCATTCAGACAAGTGACATGTCCCACCTGTTCTTGACAATCCAGTACTTCTTCCCCTTGGTGTTCACTCCATAGCCTACTGCCAGTACGGCATGATTGACGTCATCTTTGTTACAGTTGGGATCGTAGTAAACACCTGGGTTCACAACAGAGAGAGAGAGAAAAAAGAGTGAGCTGCATTAGTGAACAGTGCATAAACGATGTACCTCGCACACTTTTTAATGTTGAATATAACCAGGAAGCTGTTGATGTATTATGTTTAATTGTTTTACTAGTTTTACTAGGTGTAAACTCCATGTTTAGTTTATTTAATTCATACTTAATGAAGAAATCCTGACTAAACAGGCCCTTAAAGTCTAGGATTTTATTCCACACACGTTCCTTCCCTTATATGAAGTAGGTGCAGATAATAATTTCATCTGACCAGACATATGAGAAGTTCACTGACCATGCTTGTAGAACTGGAAGCTGCTCTGTTGCGCATCGATGCCCACAGACACTGGACCAACTTTGTAGAGTGCAACAGCCAGCGCGCGCTCATTACCCACTGGGATCTCCTTGTAGCCTTTGCACTGGGCTGCCATGCCTGATGCATTGTAGCGGCAGGTCTGATCCTGCAGGCAAGACAAAGGAGGAGAAAATGCTAAAACTGTTTGTTGCCCATTTTAAAAGTGTCAATTCTTGATATTTAAGATGCTACTTTTCATGTCCTTACCTCACAGTGTAATCATATTTAGGTAGAATATCGAATTTTAATCCAATGGTTATTACTGATTAACCGACAATAAAAGAAAATTAATAATTGCTGTATAAAATCAATAGTCAAAATACTTGCTATGCAAGGTTTTAGTACCTTGTGACTCTTCTGTCACATGTTATA